GGCTATGTTTTTGTCCCTGGATGGTCTGTCTATCTAACTGTCATCCATTTGTTAGACTATATATTTCAGAAAGAAATTCTAGTACCAGGATAATGTCAAAGACAAGGAATGCATTAAATTTTTAATGCATTTTAAAATGCATGGATACACGTATGAAAGATAGCATAATTAGTTAATATAGCCATACAAAAGGGCTGAATGATCCTTGTTTATGCCTTATAGCAAAATTGTGAAAATTAAGTCTTTAATTTACTCTCAAGTAGAATTGTTTTAAATCACTATTAAACAACATATGCAAAATAAATTATTTGACTCAAATATTAATGTATTTACAAGATCCTCATGCAAGTATTAGCTGCTTTTTTTTTTTAAGATTTTATTTATTTATTTATGAGAGACACAGAAAGAGAGGCAGAGACACAGGCAGAGGGAGAAGCAGGCTCCCTGTAGGGATCCCAGTGCAGGACTCGATCCTAGGACCCAGAGATCATGACCTGAGCCAAAGACAGATGCTCAACCACTGAGTCACCCAGGTGCCCATTTGTTCTTTGTTCTTCCCTGAGGTAGATACTTGTTGGTTCCCAGACTTCAGCAATGGCATCAAAACACAATAAAATTATATATAAATAGATTCCTTGATAAAAATGGAATTGTGTATTTATCATGTTTACAAAAATATACTTAATATTTTCTCCATTATATTGAAGAAGCTCACAGATATGGCTTGACTATATTGTTTTTTTCTTAAAGAAAATGCCTATTTAAAGTATTATGATATTTCTTTCCCATTATCTTACAACTTTATTTTTATTTATGAAAAATGTTTTTCCATTAGTTCAATACATAGAAAACTGATCAAAGAAAATTTAATATTTAACTTACAATGATAAATATTTATACTATGTAATGAGGTTTATCTGGAAGAGGTATATTTCTCTGTTAACAAGTCTTACTTTCTTCTGAAAAATGAAATGTATTGAGAATTAAAGAATTACACATGTGGTTAGAAAGCTGACCTTTAAAGTCCCTACCAATCTTGAAGTTTAATATTTCTGAGATATTTGGCTGCCTTTTTTTTTACAGTAACATCATAAATCTATAGAAACCCCAAACAAAATGCAATTTGGGTTTTACATTAATTAGCTTTGAAACATAACCTTCACAAAAGTATTTTATTATCTTTTAAGAGTCCATTAGGGTAGAAAATCAATACTTTAGCCGCTCAGTGGAGCATTTCATTTTTCTCAATATTTTCAAGAGAAGCCACTATATGCTTCCAATTTAACTTTTTTTTCTTTCCTAATGGAATTCTACACATAAGTAAAATAACTTTTCTAAATCGTTAAAACCTAATAGAAAATTAGCAGGGTTGTGATAGATTGCTATGCCTTTGTGGTGAAAAGACAGAGTAAGAGCTAATAGTTTTGAGTGCCCTTATGACACATCAAATACCACCTATCTTCTCAAGGGAGAACATTTGAAATTAAACAGGCATGAATTTTCTACTCGATCTTGGGGAGATTTGTTAGCCCCCTGCAAGTAGTGATCTTGGGGACCATAGTTCTCTATTCTCAATCGTTCACTCCACATTCAAGAAAGGAAAACATTCTTAAGTAATAGATCTATTCATGAGAACAGTCTCAGTTTCATAGTTCTCCAAAGGGAGGCAACCTTCGGGTTATGAAAGCATATTGCCTACATAAGCCACTTTGGGGCATGTTTTTGGGAAATGACAGCTGTCACCGCCTTCTGAGTAGATTCTCAAGAGAATAGTAAACTGGTGATAGTCACAGAATGGGTGGAGAAGCATATTTTGAGTTGTATTAGTGTTCTATTGCTGTGTAACAACTGCAAAATTTAACAATCTAAAACAAAACATTTATCATCTTACAGTTTCTGAATATTGGAAATTCAGAAGCAGCTTATTGGCTGGCTCGTTCTGGTGCAGGATTTCTCATGAAGCTGCTGTCATGGTGTCATCTGGGGCTGCAGTCATCTGAAGATTGGAATGCAGCCAGACAATTCACTTTTTAGGTGGTTGCCTCACATGTATGACAATCTGGTGCTGATTGTTGGCAGGTGGCCTGCATGCCTTTCCATTGGGCTGTTTGAGAGGTCTCTTGAATCTGTGTTTCTTCTCCTGGAGTGACTGATCCAAGACAGAGCAAGGCAGAAGCCGAAATATTTTTTATGACCTAGTCTCAGAAATCACATGTAATTGTTTCTACTATGTAGTATGGTTTACATAAATCAACCCTACTCACAGTTGGAGAGGACTGCATAAGTTCACAAATTCCAGGTGAGGTTATCAGGAACCATTTTAGAGACACAGAATATGGTAATTCTTATTGAGCTGATCTTGGGGAAGATAAACTGTCTTTTGTTTTGTTGTGTTTTTAAACCATTCCTTGGGCTCGCATTACTATGCTGCTTTGATCAACCTTCTATCACCAGGTCCCAGTACTTTCAAGTTGACCCCTTCTTCCTCAGGGCTCTGCTGTCGTATCCTTCCTGTTGCCAAAAAACAAAACTCAGATGAATAAATTTGAAGATCTAATTAGCTTCATTAAATGATTCATGAATTGGGCAGCATCTCATCTAACAAATAGAGGTGTACCCCAAGGAGTTGGGCAAAATGGAAGGTTTTTATAAGAAGGAGGGTGGGGCAAGAAATTTATAAGCAAAAGAAAGGATTGTTACAGGCAAAGTCACCTTCCCTCAGTGGGGAGAGCAGGAAATCTTATCATGCAGCTTGCCTAATCTTCCTTTGGAGAATGGAGTAGGCCCAAGTGGCAGACTCATTGGCATCCATCAGAGAATTCCTGACTGACCCTGATAAGACTATATCATTGGGGAGAGGCACCTGGGTGGCTCAGTGGTTGAGTGTCTGTATTTGGCTCAGGGCATGATCCTGGAGTCCTGGGATCGAGTCCCACATTGGGCTCCCTGCATGGAGCCTGCTTCTCCCTCTGCTTGTGTCTCTGCTTCTCTCTTTTTCTGTGTCTCTCATGAATAAATAAATAAAATCTTTAAAAATAAATAAGTAAGTAAGTAAATAAATAAATAGAATATTTTTTTAAAAAGAGACTATATTACTGGGGAAGGTTGAAACTGTAATTAGATTCAGGTATTAAGTAACAGTTTACTGAGTTGGGGCTTTAACCTAAATGATGCCATTTTGGGCCTTTGATTTTCTTTTTTAACACTATCCTTACTTTCTCACAAATTCAAAGATCTGAGGGCAAATTGTGTGCCAGTCACTTCACATGAGTGAACAATATCACTCTATTCATAGAACTTACCTTTTATAGTAGCTGCTTTTCGTAGTAAGTTGTCTCCGATGATCAGTAATTTCCAGTTCATCCTATTAGCATTCTGCTAAAATCACTGTGTTTCTAATAAGGTAAATTCGATATTGTGATTTATAATGAGAAATATATGGTCTTTGACCTTGCTGGTGACACAAAGTGTCTAAAACCTTTGGAATTTTTTTGTGATAAGAACAATAAAGGTGTCTTTTTTTATGTTCATGAAGTGACTTTTGGAAACCGTCTGGATGACCTAAGGATGGGAGCCGGTTGCCAGAGGAACGAACCACATGATTAGAGGATTAGAATTTTCAGTGTGGGGCTAAAGGTTGGATTAGTGCCAATGACCATTGATTTAATTAGTCATGTCTATGTGATGAAGCTTCCCTAAAATCCAAAAAGGTGGGGTGCAGAGAGCTTAAGAGTTGGTGAACAGGTGGAGATTTGGGGGGAGTGGCATAATCAGAAAGCATGAAAGCTCTGTGCCCTTCCCACATACCTGGTCCTATGCATCTCTTCCTTTTTTATCATAAATTGGTAACCTAGTGAGTAAAGTGTTTCTCTGAACTGCTCTAGCAAACCAGTTGAACCCAAGGCAAGTGTTGTTGGAAACTTCAATCAGAACCATATGTAATGACCTGGATTTGCGATCGACATATGAAGTGGGAGGAGCCAGTCTTGCAGGTTGAGCTTTAACTCTAGGATCTGATGCTGTCTCCAGGTAGATCATGTCAGAAGTGCAGTAACTTACCAGACACCCAGCTGATGTCTGAGATTGTTGGTGGTATGGGAAACCTCCTCTTCCCTACCCCATACATGTTGGAACTGGCTCCAGAACTTTTAGTAAACAAGCAAGGTGAGAAGTCAGTGATTGGCAGAGTCCCCTTAAAATATTATTTTTGTCTTAGTAGAGGTACTCAGTGATTTAATCCAAAAGAGTAAGGTGGAACTTTAGGGCTCTGAAGTAGATACTAAGTATACTAGGAGAGCTCTCTCATTTGTACCAATTTCACTGCTTTAAGCCACTTATAAGACTACTTTTGTTCAACGGAAAACATTACCACCACGCTGCCTCATTCAGCATGGTCTTTTTCACAGGGTGGAAATACAAGACTGGGGGGGGGGAGTATATTTCATGCTTAAACAGGGGCAAAAACATTAATAAAGTCATCACCACGAGTACATGATGATTAGCAGAGATTAAAGTAGTTTTGGCCATTTCCTTTCAAAACTGACACAGTGTGGTTTGAATCTCCACAAGTATGGCAAGGAGCTCTGTATCACTGTTGTATGTACACGTTTATACCCGAAGCCAGTGTTTCAGGGATCCTGGCATTTGTATCTGTGATTAACTCTAAAACATATTTCCATGGGGCTTTTTATATATATGTATTTATATTTTCAAGACTGTTTGGGCCAATAAATCCTTCTACAAATGACAGATTGGTCAACATTGAGGAGGCAAATGGAAAATAATGACACTCATCAAGTTGATGATATGAATGATTTATTGGACCCACTCATTTAACACTTTCATAAAGAAGTCAGTATTGGGGAAAGACACGAGGCTCTTATGATAGTAAACTGTATTTGCACTGTCAGCATTCAGTGATTTATTACAAACCTGTGGCTAGGATTAGGATATTATAAATGGGGAAAAATGGAAGGCTCATTAATTTTTTATCCCCACAGGTGGAAGACATGCAGTGGGCTAATAGAGAACACACTCACCCAGCGTCTGTCTGCAGCCTGCCCTGTAAGCCTGGGGAGAGGAAGAAAACAGTGAAAGGAGTCCCTTGCTGCTGGCACTGTGAGCGCTGTGAAGGTTACAACTACCAGGTGGATGAGCTCTCCTGCGAACTTTGCCCTTTGGATCAGAGACCAAACATCAACCGCACAGGCTGCCAGCTTATCCCCATCATCAAACTAGAATGGCATTCTCCTTGGGCTGTAGTGCCTGTATTCATTGCAATATTGGGAATCATTGCCACCACCTTTGTGATCGTGACCTTTGTCCGCTATAATGACACACCTATTGTAAGGGCTTCAGGACGAGAACTTAGTTATGTGCTCCTAACAGGGATTTTTCTCTGTTATTCAATCACCTTTTTAATGATTGCAGCACCAGATACAATCATATGTTCCTTCCGCCGGATCTTTCTGGGACTTGGCATGTGTTTCAGCTATGCAGCCCTTCTTACCAAAACAAACAGAATCCACCGGATATTTGAACAAGGGAAGAAATCAGTCACAGCACCCAAGTTCATTAGTCCAGCATCCCAGCTGGTGATCACTTTCAGCCTCATCTCTGTCCAGCTCCTGGGCGTGTGCGTCTGGTTTGTTGTAGACCCTCCCCACATCATCATTGACTATGGAGAACAGCGGACTCTAGACCCAGAGAATGCCAGGGGAGTTCTCAAGTGTGACATTTCTGATCTGTCGCTCATTTGTTCACTGGGGTACAGTATCCTCTTGATGGTCACATGTACTGTTTATGCCATTAAAACGAGAGGTGTCCCAGAGACTTTCAATGAAGCCAAACCTATTGGATTTACCATGTATACCACCTGCATCATTTGGTTAGCTTTCATTCCTATCTTTTTTGGTACAGCACAGTCAGCAGAAAAGGTAAGTGCAAGATATGCATATGCCAACACTTCCATGGATTTAACTTCTTTCTTTAGTATGCTTCTCCATCTTTTCAGTTCATTTATATTCTCTCAAGATGATTCGGTCTGTATTATTCTTATTTAGAAATGTATATATAATCCCTCAAAGTTACTTAACTTTGAATATGTGTTGACTAAGGTTGATTTTCCATGAAGAAGGCTTTAAAGTGTCCTCCTTAGCAAGGTAGAAAATTGACAGATCTCACATTACTTTCTGGGTCTCTCTTCCCAGGTCTGTTATCTACAAAGATAATTGTTCTTTTCCTAATGTTAATTAAAAGAGGATGGGAGAAAAGGAAGATATGATTCATAGGAATGAGCTATCACAGAGATATCCCATTGTATGACAAATATCTCCTTTCCTGGTTCCTGTGTGTCTCTGGGAAAAAGCTATTCCTTCATAATTATGATTGGCTTTAGTCATGGAAGCAGGGTTTCTAGTAAAGTGACAAGAACAAAAGAAATTGAAATGGCTTAGTTTGATCTGAACCATCTTACTCTTTCTCCTCAGCCCCTGTGCTTATCACTTTTCCATATGTGCAAGGTGATGTGGAAGGATTAAAGAAGACAGCAATGGGCAGTTATATAAGGCAGTTTATGATATTTCAGAGGGTGAAGATCAATTAAATCTCTTAAAATAATTTTCTTTTGTCACTAATCTCCAGTTAACCTTTTCCACATAAATCCTTGCAGGGGATTTATCTGAAAAAGGAAGCAGGTGCTGAAGTGGACACACATAGTTTTCTGTCCAGAAAAACAGGGAACTAACTTTTTTTTTTTTTTTGGGAACTAACGTTAAACATGGATCCCAAGGTTTGGCTAATTTAACAGAGATAAGTCAGCTTATGAAACAAAGGCAAATGATATCTTTCTGAAAGAATAGTCCTTCAGCCTTATTGTACAGATGAGAAAGCTCTCAGAGTGAGAATTTAAAGATCGCTTTACCCTCTATCATCAGAAGTTATGGAGAAATCAAGCATCCTGGGCACAATTACATTCCCCATTCGCTAACATTCCAAGTGAGGTCATGCATGACTCTTAAAATCCCAACTAATTCAGAGGAAAGAGTACTCAACATGGGCATGGAGAGCTCATTAGTATGAGCATTCATCCCTTACGAGATCAATGTGGCTTTCAACCATGTTTGGACACAAAGAAATGTACTTCAGCAAACTTGCTGCTGAATAGAAAAATCTTACTTTGGGTTCCAGATCTGTGACCTTTCATGACTTAGGTGGCCTGATAGAAGCCCATGAATATTTTATGTGGGACCAAGCACATAGCAGGAAAGGAGAGTAATACAATTTGATGTTCTAAACCTAATAAACATTATATTTTTGACATATGTAGATAGAAATTCATGGGGATCAAACTTGTAAATTTGACTTAGGAGAGAATACTTAGGCTGGAAAATAAGTCTCTCACAGTCTGTTGGGTCTGTTTTGATATGGTTAGGTGAACTAGTCAGGGCAAAACAATCTTCTTCAGAGTCTGGAAATGTCTGCATTATGTGAATTATTAAGAACATTAAGTGGTACTCTTTCTTGTATTTGAACAGAGGACTGCCTTTTTAAATATACTGTTCTATCTGAAAAGGGCCATAAGTAGTTTATTTTGCTTTCTTGTGGGCAATAAATATATACCCAGACAAAATCTCCTGAGTTCTGACATCTAACTTCCTTTTCTTTTTCTTTCTCCTGCTTTACATTTACTTCTCATATTGTGACTTGCAAGGGCAGTGGGTGAGGGCAAACACAAATAAGATGTTATTTCTCTTTTTTTGATGTTATTTCTATTTATATAAGTCTTTCAGTGCCTTGATTTTTTAGCATAAGTAAGTTCGTGGTACAGCATTTAGCTATAGGATACTATTATCACAGCAGTTCAAACATGTATCATACTAATAAGCTTTTTTATAACATAGTCGAAAAAAAATGGCCCTTGTCTCTCAGAACTAAAACCATGCTAAGTTGTAGCTGTCCCCTCACAGCAGTGATGGAGATAGGAAGAATTTTAAGAAGAAATGGACAGGTGAATATGCTGGGGTGGCAGAGTGCTGCTGAACCTATGGGCTTCACGGTACATCCTCCAAAAACCTGGAGTTTATGTATAGACTTTTGGGGCTAGATATATCCACACCTATGGAAATATGACTGAATGTTAGATAAAATGTTTTTTTTCCCTCTTGGCTTTTTGGAATCAAAGTAAGTCAAAAAACCACATTGTAAGACAAATGATAAAATATGTTAATTGGATTTATTTTGTTTTCATGATATAACTGAATATGGAAAAGACTAAAGAAATCAGGAAGAAATGCTAATTGTAGGAATTTTCAGAACATTGTGAAGTCCTCAAAGTATTTAGTGAGTTTTGGAGTTGCTGAATCTGGACCTGCTCTACATCGAGAGCTATTATAAGTAGCTAAGGTTTGGCTACTGAGGTACTTTATGTAATATAATTACATTTATCCTAAGGCTTTACCTAAAATTTGCTACCTGTTAATCTCTTTCAAAGTAGCAATACACAAAATGCATGAGAATATTTATATTTTTCACCTTGCTAAAATTGTTGACACAGATATTAAAGGTGAATAAAACTCTATGTCTTTAAAAGAAGGCTTTACATAAGTTTTATTGACTTTGGAGGACCAAAGAGCTGGTCAGTCCTCCATTCTCATTTATAATGCTCAGCCAATTAGCCCATGTTATCAACTTGAAGTGTTTGTAGCAGTCAGGCAGTACACACATCCATTAGTTCAGTAGATCCTTATCGAGCATTGTGTCCAGTATTGTGCTAATTATTGAGCCCATGTCAGTCTGCTTCCCAGAGCCTTCCTTGTAAGCCTGGCTCCCAGCCCATGCCCGCCTGATGCCTGCCAGCACCAGCAAGGTGCCAGGCTCAAAGGCAGGAGGAGATCAAGCTCAAGGGCAGGGGAACACGGTGAGGATTCAGATCTGAGATGAGAAAGCAAAAAAGAGAGCTATGCATCATGTAATTGTACATGTGATGTAGAATTTGTAACACAGGAGACAGCACAAGAGCAAAATTTCTTTCACTACGTATTTACTTATGCTTCTTAGAGTAATCAACAAAAGAAAAACTCATCTGATCATACAGGTATCCTTGAAATGATAACAGTAGTAGGAATAAAAGGTAAAATTAGTTGAATAATATAGACAGATTGTTTTGGAAAACCCCTGAGTAAAATAAAATTGTAAAGGTCCATTTTAGCATTCATGAAGACACCTCTGTAAAGTAAAGGTTTATTCAATGATAAAACTCCATTTAATTTCCCTACATTTTTTTTAGATTTTAAAATAAGTTGAATTCTATTTTTCCAATAGATTTTAATGACATCATTTATTAGCTTTGTGCCTACTGCTGCATTCTACTAGCTGTAGTATAAATGCAGTTTTTCTTTTCCTATACAAAAGTTGTTGTGAAGGAGGGGTGGACACACTGAGACTGAATGTAGACTCACACAAACTCATAATTATGCTGAAAAGATTAAAAAAAGTAAAATATAAATAATGTAATTGTAAGGAAAAAAAGTCCTCGGGGATGGTGAGGGGCTGTTAGGATGGCAGAAATCTCTTGAATACACATTTTTACCACCTCTAATTGCACTCATAAAGCTGAGATAATCAGACAAAGGTTATGATATTGCCAAGCTCCAAGGAGCACAGTGCTTCAGCCAATTCATTGAGTGGAAACAAAACAAAACACCCTTAAAGTAGGAAATATAATACCTCAAAAATGTCCAAAACAACAACAACCACCTATCTCCCAAAGCAGCCTTTCTTCCTCTGGTGCAGCATCATCCAGTAGTTCAACTCAGAAACCTGGGAATCATCCTAGACTGCTCCCTCTGCATGCTCCCACCCCTTCATTTCTTCCTCTCACCTGCAAATGTCAGCCTTGAAAAATTCCTGGAAGGGAAGCAGTAGCCATCAGATGTGTATCTGAGTGAATATGTCTCTTAACAGAGCCTTTCATGTAGTCCCTTCCCAGCAAATGACCACCCAATATGTGAATGGACTGCCTTACACAAGAACAATCTAATATAATATTATAATGCTTATTTCTGATTTAAGTTAGACTGGGATGTCATGGGAATGTTCTATTTTCATCTTATACTGATCCCCATTACAACAGTTTCTTTTCTTTCTTTTTTTTTTTTCCAGAAAGAGAAGTTTTCTTCTTTCAATGATGGGCCATATGCATTTCTTTTAAAAAAAATTGTCATTACCATTTATTCTGAAATAGGGCTGCTAAATATGTAGGGAGAAAGGCAAAAAGGAATTATGATACTTGTCTGAGTTCTGTTTAGCATACATAGAACAAAGGAGAATTGATAGAATTAATCAAATACTTTTGCCTCGTCATCCCTCCCTCGTTCTTTTGCTGTCTATCAAAAGGCAGAAGCCTGTGGGGGTGCAGAGATGGATGAGGGGAGTAGGGAAGAGCATAAGCTCTGGAGAAAGTGAATTTGGATTCCAGTCCTGACTCTGCCAAACTGGCTGGGGAAATGTAGGCAAGGGCTACACATCTGAAGATAATAATAAATTCTCCCAGAGAATGCAAATTCACATAGCAATATAAAGCAGTCCCTTGCCATCTGCACCCAGCCCTATTCTTGAACTAGAGCAGACTTGAGTTCATATCCTCTGGGAAAAAGCAGGAAGGTGGGTGACTTAAAACAAAACAAAAACCTCAAACTTCTGTCTTCTCATTATGGTGTACTTAATAGATGTACTTAATAGATGCCGTATGTGTCAGGTTTAATCCAATCGGTAGTGAAATGGAATAGAGAGGCCAGGCAAAAGTTGGTTGAAACAGGCTTTTAATGGGACGCCTCTTGGGTGAGGTTCCGAGGCCTCAAGGAGGGGGCGGCGGGGGGGCGGGGGGGAGACAGCGGGGAACTCGTGGGCCAGGGAAGTTGCGCCCAGGCAATCTGCA